GAACTTACTTTTGTGATTGAATCATCAATTCAAGCCAAACATTAATCAAATAGGAACAATTTCACTCAAAGTATACCTAGACACAGGAGAACTATTGTCGTGAAAGTGTTGTACAGTCGATTACGAATTTAGATTGCAGAGAGTTTGTTCTGAGCGCTAAAGGCACTCACGATAGAGCACATTTTGCTTTATTCTAACAAGCAATTGCATTGAAGTCAATTGACTTTCCATCTCAAATTGATTTCACCATGTCTTTGGAACATTTCATTCCAGAAGCTTGGATGTAGTCAATCACTCTTTCTTTGGCATCTTCGTACGACAATCTTGCCTTTTCATCATTTTCATCTTTTGTTGAAAATAGATGTTTCACAACTGTTGAACTCAAGTTGCTCTTGACTTTCTGAGGAGTCACACGTCCTCTTCCACCACCGGATGAAGAACGTCCCATTGTCAACAAATCACTCACTCTTTTGTAGATAAGGCAGTGCTGTTCTTGATGTAAATTTGTTTTGCTGCCTTTTGTGATTGAATAAAGCAAAATGTGCTCTATCGTGAGTGCCTTTAGCGCTCAGAACAAACTCTCTGCAATCTAAATTTGTAATCGACTGTACAACACTTTCACGACAATAGTTCTCCTGTGTCTAGGTATACTTTAAGTGAAATTGTTCCTATTTGATTAATGTTTGGCTTGAATTGATGATTCAATCACAAAAGTGAGTTCAACAAATTTCCATCAGGAAAATCCCTTGTTCTACAAGACTTGGTGTTGGATACAGCACTTTGGGACATCTTCTATTATTCCCTACTGCATTGTACACAACACCAATATTCCACTTGTATAGGGTCATTCCCTTTCCATGTGGATATAGATTGTCCAACAGACTTGCTTCAAATTGCTGACATCACGATTAAAATCCGATTGTGTGTGTCAAAACTTTGTACTTGAAAAGTTTTTCTAGTATCGTAAAAACTCATATTTTGTCATATCCCAACAAGAACTGCTGACTCATTCCTTTTCTATGCTAAATTAATGGCATGTAGCAGCTTGCGCATGTGGGACATGCATGATGCACAGACTGCACTTCAACATGGGAAATCTATTCTTTGATAATTAGATCACCTGAGGGCCGTTTTTTTTTCACTCTCTGTTCGTTTTCCTACATTTCTCTTCCACGATTGGGAGAGTTTTCCTCTCTTGTTCTATATGATCGCGGCCGCCCCAAATGACTGCTGCGGCACGTGGCAATTAGCCCAATGGTACTTGTCTACGTTATCCTCACCACACCCACTAGTTTTCTTTAAAAACGCCACTGAAGAAGATTTTCATCGAAACCACATACTCCTGGTTTGGTGAAACTAGTTACCTCGTAAAGTTACTAGTTGGATACGCCTTCCTTACTTCTAGCTCTCTTCTATTAGTATAGACAACTGTCACCAGTAAAGCATAGACGCCTTCGGCATCTTGCTTGCTCGTCACAAATCCTATTCAGATTAGAATTTTGTCACTCCCCAAATGGGGCAAAGTGAGGACCTAGTCCACTTGATCAGCACTATCTCCAGATTTGAACATTAGAGTTTGTTGTAGTGTCCAGATTTGCTGATGGCCCCAATGCTTGTTGAGAATATCACTTCAACCTGGGAATCCTCAAATGGGTTAAGGTGAGGACCTAGTCCTCTTGATCAGCATTGCTCCAGACCAGAACATTAGAGTCCGTTGTAGTGTCCCAATTTGCTGATGGCCCCAATGCTTGTCAAGAATATCAGCTGGGTTGAGGGCACCATCTATGTGAACAAAAGATAGCATGTTGGATGCTACTGCTTCTTTCACACGGTGAAACAACAACGCGGCATGCCGTTTATGTAGCTTAGCTTCATGCTAGGAAGAACTGTTCACAACAAATCCATTGTCATCAAACATGTAGCTTTGACCTTTGTTTGGCACACCAAGGTACCTCAAGGTATGTGAAAGATCTATGATCTGTCCAATTATGGCACACCAAGGTACCTCAAGGTATGTGAAAGATCTATGATCTGTCCAACAAAGGTTTGAGTGGCTGCAAACTAAGAACCAAAGGTAACAGTTTCAACAGTTGACTGCTTCTTAGCAAAGAAATGGATTCGGGTTCCATTCAACATATGATGGATCATACCCATGACCAACTGGTTTGTCATTAGATGGTAGGATTCTATTTGGTGTGGTAGTATATATAGGTGAAGTCACCGTACGGCAGGAGTCTGGGCTTGTGTTTATCACACTCTTTATGGGCATTGACAAGTTGGACTTGGACCTTTTGGGGATCTTTTGGTATTGGGGTTCCTCTCCCCATAGCCACAAGGACCTGTACATTGCAAGCAGACCCATCTCAACTTTGGTGGCATGCTTCCAGTTGGTGTTGCCATGGAGTTTGTTGAGTCAAAGAACGCCATTCTGGTCCTTCTGGATCTTGTAGTTGTATATATACTTTGGTGTAGTAGTATCTAGCAATCTCAGCTTGACTTGATTAAGTTTACAACCTTGATTTTCTGGTAGGTTATGATTTCTAGAGTATATAGTGTAGGTCACTGAGTCATCAGCTCCAGTGATGTTCAGCGGTTCTGTGGTATTCTCCCCATGTTTTCATCCAACGGTCATACTGTAGGTCAGACCCAAGTAATACGAAGGTTGTTCAAGTCAAATGTTGTGATGGTGGCATGCAACTCACTTGAGCTTCCTATCTATGGGGTTCTCCTTGTCAGTTTCTGACCACTTGTGGATCTCATGGTAAGCCATCGCGTTCATATTTGCCTTCATCAGTGTTCAAGCATAGTTGAATGCGTGCAGGCTGAATGTCCGTGTTGTCATTGTGCTTGTAATTAAGCTCAACAATCTTAGCACATCAAACATAACCTTCATCATCTGGTGAGAGAAGGAAAGTTCGTCCAATGAAGTCCTTTTCTTCTAACAGAACATCTTCTATATCTGATGCATTGTCCCTAGAATAAACAATGGTCTTTAGGGACTTATGATCTCTGTATTTGATTTTTGTAGTGGGTGTCAACTCCTACCCATCAGATAGATCAATTGACTTGGTTATTTTAGGGAGCGCTAACTCCTCCCCATCAGGTAGATCAAGACGTTTGTGTAGTCCAGTTCATTCTTTCTCAATTTGATCACCGGCGCCCCCAGTCAGCTGACTCTATCCAGCTGACTCTATCCAGCTGACTCTATCCAGCTGACTCTATCCAGCTGACTCTATCTTTCCGCTAACTAAAGGTTTTTGTACTGCAATGACAGCATACAATGCATACTTTCCACTTGGGAGCACATCCTTTACATTTCCACCAGATACAAGCTACAGTCCAAGCCCAACCTATCATTGCCTTTCAGGGGACGAAATCCTACATGTTGACTGGCAGCTTGCTTTTCCAAACTCCTGCGGTTCTTTGGTCCATACTCAAAGGAATTAAAAAAAGAATCCAGGAAGTCTATGTCCAATTTGGAGACATGATGGCGCCATTACATGGGCGGTTATCATGAAATATACATGTCTTTCTTGCAAGGAGCTAGTTGATGCAAACAAAGGTCGACGGCTGCAAATGCTACCAGCTCATGTTGCTGCAGCCTACCCTGTTCCACCAAGGTATGCCACAAGTGAAGGCGGATTTCACCTCCACAAAAATGGAATTGCCTTTTTAGCACATCCTCAAGACATATGTAAATAGCAAGCAGTGCAGTCTTTCCTGGTTCGTGCCATGGCAAATAGATATCTGGAAAAGGCAAGAACCTACCTGAGCCAGAAGCCAAGTAAACCTTTTCCAGACTTCTACAGCTATAAACAAGTCATTGGAAGCTGAACATAGTCAATAGAGAGCCAACTTTTCAAAATTGAATCAAGAAAAGCTTGAACTGACAAACTTCACTAACGGACTGTTGGAAAAGGAAGCCAAGGCTGATGCAATCTTGATGAAGGAAAAGGCCAACTTGGAACACTCTCTGGAGCCCATTCCACCCTTCCTTGCAAGCATGAATCCGTCGCCTGTTGCAAGCATGTCTTCATTCACCTCGGCGCAGCCCATTTCTAGCCTGAAGCCACCACCAGTTGCCAGCCAGAAGCCGCATTCCAAACATAACAGGAAAGCTTAGACGGAAATTAGTGAAAGTGAGCTTAAAGTTAGACTCGTTTACGTATACTTTCTGAAACACTTACCGGACACAAAGTTGGACTCCAGAACTTGATTGATTGTAGCTTAGAAATACACTACAAAGTACTGCACCTCTGATGACGACAATTCAGTCTACGGTCTTTGTCGGTATCAGTGCCTGGCACTGGGTTCTTCAAATGATGTCACTTCCTTCTCATATGACTGACTGAATGACACAAATCAGTAGCTCCATGCAATTGGAACTCAAAATGAAAGAGGGAAAAAAGAGGAAGATAGAGCCTCCATG